CTCCAAGCACAACCAGGAGTAATTCCTGAGAGCAGAACTAGGAATACCCCCGAGCATCACCAGGTGTGGTCCACAAACTGAAAAATTCACTCTGGGAGTGAGGGCTTTTCTGTAGATGCTCTGTCTCATGGCATGATACATCTCATGGCTGCCTCAACAAATTACCAGGGGTTGTGGGCTCACCACACAGATGGGAATTCTCCTACAGTTGCTGACATTCAGGGTCAGCGGGCCTCTCTGGAGGCCCCAGGGGGCCGTCATGCCTCTGCTAGTCACTTCCCCAAACACTACCTCCTCTGCCTCAGTCTGACCCCCTTCTCTGGTCTCAGCCCCTTCTCACACACTTCTCTCGTAGGTACGCTTGTCCCTAGACTTGGAGCCTCTTGAATAGTCCATATCAGCCTCGTCTCAAGGCTCTTACAGCTGCAAAGACTTTCCAAACTCAGCCCCATTCCTGGTCTCCATTCCTGACTTCCTGAGATCTGGCAGGGGCTACTTCGCTGGGGATTTTTACTCTTGGAGGGTGGGGGCACACCTGGCCATGCTCAAGTGTTATTCCTGGCTCAGGAATCACTCCTGGTGTTACTTAGGGGAACATATGGGATGTAGAGGATTGAATCTGGACCAGCTGCGTGCAAGGCAAGTGAGCTACTGTGCTGTACTATCACTGGCCCCTGGGCTCTTTTCAACATACCACAGATACCAGTTCAGAGGCAAGATAGAATGAAGTGACAAATTCAAATCTCAAAATGTACAAGGAAAGCAGGATAATTTCTAAATATTACTTGTATATTTTGTCCAAAATGCTTTGTTGTTCTTCAAAAAGGTAAACTAAGGTGGGGGTGGGGGTGGTAATTAAAAAACCTGCCCCCTTCCCTAGTGCCAGAGAGATTGTACAGAAGACAGGGCATTTGCATGTGCCTGACACGTCACCCCATAAGGTCTCCTGAGCCCCACCAGGAGTGATGCCTGAGCACAGAGCCAGGAGTAGCCCCTGAGCATTGCTGGGTGAGCCTTATCCCAAAATGGCAAATTAAAATTTGTTGCAGGTGAAAGAGAAAACTAAATAATGATTGTAGAGCACATAAAGTTTCATTTGAATGCTGCACCCCCGGCCCTCTTTTAAGCAATTATGAGCCAATAGCTGCTTTTTGTTTTCACTTTCTACTTCTTTTCTGTATTGTTTTTCATTCCTTGGATAAAATATATTTGATAGAAATATTGATACCGACAATACTCAATAAGCAAGAACAACAACAAAAAAATCATGACTAAGAATACATCACAGTGAGAAAAGTATTTCAAATTTGATTTCTTATTCCAAAAACGTTTATGAAATGCAAACTTTAAAATCTCAACCACTGGTCAGGAATGGTAGTCCAATCGGTAGGGCATTTGCCTTGCACGTGGCTGAGCTGGGTTTAATACCAGCAATGGTCCCAAGCACCACCAGCAATGATTCCTAAGCGCAGAGACAGTAGTGGACCCTGAGCAATGCCAGGTGTGGCCCCAAACACCCACCCCCTTCATTCCCCCCCAAAAAATCTCCAAAGACTCAACCACTGGCCCTTTCTCGTCTGGGTGAAGGTTCAAAGGACACTTGGACTAGGTTAGAGATAAACGAGACCGAAGCTTGTGCAGAACCCCCAGAAGCCCTCTCCTCCTCCGAGAAAGCAGCACACAGCATGCTTTCACACAGATGTCATCTTGTCCCCTCTTTCCACCCACACGCACCCATCAGCCACCCGGACTGGTTGCTCAGGTTGAACTGGGAGCGCCGTGGGGCATCTTGGCAGAACCCTGCCGGTACAGATTGAGGGATATCACAGCACGGCTGGGCAGGCGGCTCTGAGCCTTATCAGCCATGAGTCTGAAGGGTGTTTTGCAAGACTAGGGACTGGGCATGGGTGGGGGGCACTGAGCCTCCCGGACGCCTCTCACAGTCTCATCCCTGCATCTCGGGTAGCTCTTGTTTGCTGCCAACTCACCATTCCAGAAACCCAGAGATTTGAGAAGGGAGAAAAGCGTTGGGAACTATGAATTTCTGCCATTTCTCTCTCTTTCTTTATTTGGGGAGGGCACACACCTGGTGATGCCCTCCTTACTCCTAACTCCTGGCTCTGTGCTCAGGAATCACTCCTGGCAGTGCTTAGGGACCATAAGGGGTGCTGGAGATTGAACCTGGGTTGGCCAACTTGTAAGGTAAATGCCCTACCCCCTGTATTATCTTGCATTGTCTCAGCTTAGCCCTGGCACCCAGGGATCCACATAGATCCACTATTCCTCATTCTGTTCCCAGTCTGGTCTTCAGCATCCCACCTTTGAAACAAGAGGACTGGACTCTGGGATCTTTTTTTAAAAAAATTTTTATTAGTTAAACTCCATGAGGTATAGTTGTAGACTTACAAACCTTCGTGCTTGGGTTTCAGTTATACAATGAGTACCCATCCCTCCACCAGTGCCCATTCTCCACCACCACTGATCTCAGTATTGGACTCTGGGATATTTGAGGCGCCTTCTGGCTTCACCACAGAATATACACTTTCCCCTTGAGCACTGGGGGTACCCACCCACAGGCTCACTAGTTCTTTCTTTCTTTCTTTCTTTCTTTCTTTCTTTCTTTCTTTCTTTCTTTCCTCTGTTCCTTCCTTCCTCTTCCTTCCTTCCTTCCTTCCTTCCTTCCTCTCTCTCTTTCTTCCTCTCTCTCTCTTTCTTTCTCTCTCTCTCTTTCTTTCTTTCTTTCTTTCTTTCTTTCTTTCTTTCTTTCCTCTGTTCCTTCCTTCCTTCCCCTTCCTTCCTTCCTTCCTTCCTTCCTCTCTTTCTTCCTCTTTCTTTCTTTCTTTCTTTCTTTCTTCTTTTCTTTCTTCCTTTCTTCCTTCCTCTCTTTCTTTCTTTTCTTTTTTTTGGGGTGCCATACCCAGTTGTTCTCAGGGCTTATTCCTCGCTCTGCACTCAGGAATCACTCCTGCAGGGGCTCGAGGGACCATATGGGGTGCTAGGGATCGAACCCAAGTTGACAGCACGGAAGACAAATGCCCTGTATGCTTTATTATCTCTCCGGCCCCCATCTCTGGCTGTTTCCTTTTCCAGATAGCTCTACCCTACACACCCGGATGTTGCTGTCGGTTATACCTAGCACGCCCCTAGGTAAGGTCCAAAAGTTCGGGATGGGGAGACAGTTAGGAGTGGCTCCCAGGTATGCCACCATCAGCCATCCATCAGACGTTAATTGGGCATCCAGGTAGGTGCTGGGGCTGTAGAGATGAGTAACCTGCAGCTCCTGCTGGGAGGAACAAGCCTGCGAGAGGCAGATGCATAAATCAAGGACTGCACGGCAGCGTGGCAAGCTCCACCACAGGGTTATCAATAAGGAGCACAGCTCACAGGGACAGACACATAAATCTGTCTGGACTCCAGTGCGGGACGGCTTCCTGGAAGAGGTGACGCGCACAGTCGGCAGGGGAGAGCAGGAAATACCTGTGTGGATGGTTCCTGAGCCTGAGAACATTCTCTTGACAGATACTTTTCCAATGTTCTTTGAGCACATGATCCTTCTCCCAGGCCTGGCACATGGCTTCCAAGGTGCACTAAGCAAGCAGCACCCAGGGGTGGTGGCCCGTTGCGACACCGACTCAGAGGGGGGCGGGGTGGGGGTGGGTCAGCAGTGGGGCTGCCCATTTTTGATATGCCGTTACTGAAGGCAGAACCCGCTTTCCTGTCCAAACGCACGCCCTGCTGGGTTAGCGCTCTCCTTCCCGTTTCCCTTTTCCCTCTCCTGGCTCTGCTGCCAGTGCCGGGAAGGGACTGAGCTGACTGCTGGGCGTTTCTGAGATCTCTCTGTGATTCCACCTGGCCACCCACGGGGACTTCTCGGAGGAGGCGCTGAGAAGAGGGAGGGCGCAGTTTGGCTAAGGGATCTGGCTGGCCTTTTTTTTTTTTTTTTTTTTAAAGCCAGGGCCACCTGCCCGCGCTTGACCTTTCCTCCTCTTCTGACCTCCCACCCGGCAGAAGCGGGTCTCTCTTCTTAAGTTCACGGGCGATTCAAAGACTTTGGGTCCAGCTGCGGGCGGCGCGGCTCGGCGCGGCGGGACCGCCTTCCCCGGGGCACTCTGCCCGGGCGAGTCGGGGCGGCGCGGCCGCGACTCGGGCTCCGGCTCCCGGCCCCAGCTCCGGTTCGGATCCCGGCTCCAGCTCCGGTTCGGATCCCGGCTCGGCTCCGGCTCCAGCTCCCGGCTGCGGCCCCAACTGCAGCTCCGGCTCCGGCTCCGGCTCCGGCTCCGGCTCCGGCATCGGTCCCCGCCCCGGCTCCAACTCCCGGCCCCAGCTCCACTTCCAGCCCCCAGCCCCGGCTCCAGCTCCAGCTCCAGCTCCAGCTCCGGCTCCAGCCCCGGCTCCAGCTCCAGCTCCGGCCCCAAGCTGCAGCCGTAGCTCCAGCCCCAGCCCCAGTTTGCAGCTCCTGCTCCTGCTCCGGCCCCTGCTCCGAGCCCCAGCCCCTGCAGCTGCAGCTCCTGCTCCGGCTCCAGCTCCGGCCCAGCTCCCGGCCCCGGTTCCCGGCCCCGGCCCCCGCCCGGGTCCCGGTTCTCCGCCCGCCGGGGGCCAGGCTGCGGGCGGCGGGGCGGGGCCGGGCGGCCGCGGCGCGGAATTACTCACGGCGCTAATTGCCCGTCATTAAGTTGGGGAGACGGTCCGAAGCGGGGCGCAGACTCCAGCGGGAGGCAGGTGGCGCCCGGGGCTCCGCGGAGCCGGCGCGGCCAGGGTTAAGCCGTGCCCGCTGCCCGCTGCCCGGCCAGCGTCCAGCTGCCTTCAAGCAGAGGCCAGAGGCCCCGCAGGGACCCGGAGGGACGCGGCGAGCCCGCGGGGTCCTCCCGGCCGCCCGCCCCCGCCGGCGCCTCTCCCCCGGGGAGCAGAAAGGGGGGCGGTGCGGGAGGGCCAGCCCGGGCGCTGCGGGCCTGCGCCCCCCACCCCTCGCCGCCGCCGATGGCCGAGGACATCGACTGGCTGGACCTGCCCGGCCGCTGGACGTACGGAGTGGACAGCGGCGGAAGAGTCTTCTTCATCAAGTACGTGGCGCCCCCTCTCCCCCACCCCCCCGCCCCCTTCACTTGTTTCCCAGTTAAAGTTGTGGGGCGCGCAGGGCGGCCGGGCCGGGGGGCCGGGGCCGGGGGGGGGGGGGTGCCCGGCGGGCGTGACTAATAAGTTTATCACGGCGCCTGTTTGAGTGCGTCTCCCGCCTTTTCCTCCGCGACCAAAGTCCAGCCAGGCGGGCTCTCCTTCCCCCAGAACAGCAGGTGCGGGCCTCGCCCCTCCCCGCGCACACAGGCCTGCGGGGGAGGTGCTCAGGCCAGGAGGAGTGACCCCCGCCCGGCCTGGAAGCTTCCCTTTCTTCAGCTCCTCCCAGACTGTCACTGCCCCGTGGACTGTCCTCCTCCAGTCCCCTCCTGCCCCCCCCTCCAGCCTCCCCCTCCCCCGGGAGATGCTCAGTGGCTGGACCCCAGGAGCGCCTGCCTCAATACCTTTCTCCCCCAGGCCATCATTCCTTACCCAGGGCCCCCAGGGTCCCAGGCCAGCAGCCCCCCTTCTTTCCCTGCCCTCCCTGCCTGCTTCTGCCAGGGTTGTGGTGGGGTTGGGGTTAGCACAGAAGCCCCCCCATGCTTCTGCATTCTGCAGATCCAGGGAGCCTTTGCAGCTCCTGGGCATAGATTAGTGATGAATTTCATCAGCCCAAGTGGAATGGCTGTGATGCACTCACCATGAGAGTGGCCACCAAGCGCACATTTGGCCCTGCCTCCAGTGTCTCTTGCCAGGACAGAAAGCTCGGAACTGTTCCCTGGACATGCTGAGTTTTCCCAATAGCCACTCACAGAATGTTAAAACAGAGAGCAGCCTGGGATGCCCCGGCCTGCGGTTTAGAGATGGGCAGGCAAGGTCTGGGGAGTGGGAGAGCCATCCCGGGAGACACCGCTCAGGGACCCAGTCCCCGTGAGCCCGGGCCTGCAGCTCTCTGCTCACACCCAGGGGCTGGGCCAGAGCTGGGTGTCCGCCTTTGCTGTGGGCCCCGCTGCCTTGTAATCAGCATGATCGTAATGGATGTGCTAATTATATTATCTTAGAAATGAACTCTGCTGGAGCGCTTGCCCCTGGGTCAGATTCTTCAATAGCAAGACTTGGCCAGTATTAAAGCTTGGAGGCCCTGTGGCCAGTGCTTTGAGACTTGAGTGTCCACGAGAATCACACAAAGAACTTAATGAAAAGGCTGGTCCCTGAGCTCCACCTCCAGAGAGACTGAAGATGTGGGGTGGGGTCTGAGAATCTCAGCTTTGGGGATTTCCACCAGCCCCCCCCCACCCCCAGTCCCCCTGTATTCAGGTGAATTGGCCAATCATGCTCTTCCATCTTCTTTCCCAGCCTTTGCCTGCCTTTCAGCTTCACTCCATTGTCCACACTGCAAACACATGGCACAGATACCATTTGGTGCATGGATGTTCTCTACCTCAGGACATGCACAATGCATGCACATGCATGCACACACAACGCATGTTCATGCATGCACTCGCATATATGCACACACAGGCTTATACTCGCATGCATGGACACACATGTATGACACACACGCACATGTGCGTGCACAATAAACTTATACATACACACGTGCACGCATGTATAGGCACACATGCACACACATGCGCATGCAGGAACATACAGGCTTTCCCTTGAGGGGGGCAGGGAGAAAACACAGGTACTGAGGAAATAGCATGATGCATTCTAGAGGTATTTGCATGACACTGTAAGAATACCGGAAGTTCTTGCTCTCTGGAATTCAGAGGGGCCTTCCTGGGAGGAGAGAGGGAGTGAATTGGGAGCAGAGAGACTAAGGGAAAGGGGGCCTTTGACCTGGAGCACTGAAGGTTATGTGAGCACGGGCTTATCTAGAACATTCTGCTGGGAGGTGAGGAGAGTTGGGTAGAGGTGATGAATTGCAGAAGTCAAAATAACTTTTTTTTTTTCCTCCTTCCCTTCTCTTGGTTGGTGGTAGGGGTACACCAGGGTCACACACTTGTTGGCAGTGATTTTTTTTCTACTTTTTGGGTGACACCCGGCGATTCTCAGGGGTTACTCCTGGCTTTGCACTCAGGTATCAGTCCTGGACGGTGCTCGGGGGACCATATGGGATGCTGGGAATCAAACCCGGGTTGGCGGTGTGCAGGGCAAATGCTCTACCCACTATACTATCGCTCCAGCCCATGGCGGCAGTGATTTTTAACAGAAGTTTTTAACAGGAGATTTTTCTGTTGTTGCTTTGGAGCCTCACCCAGCGGTGCTTAGGGCACACTCCCGACTCTGCTCAGGGCTCACTCCTGCTAGTGCGTAGGGAAACCTATGCAATTGAGCTGGGGTTGACCACAAGCAAGGCAGCACCTTAACTTCTGTACTCTCTCTCCGACCCAGAAAAGAGATTTTAAGGAGAGGTTTGACCTAGTTGGAGCTGCGTTTTAGAAGCTTTTGTCCCAGCAGCTGCATGGCTGATGGTTCAAGGGCTGAACTGGGAAGCAGTGGGGAGAAGCCTGACGTCTGAAGAGCAGCGAGGAGCCTTTGCAGAAGTCCTGGGCACAGCTGGTGGGGACCTGAAATAAAACAGCAAGAGGAGAAGGGGAGCAGGATGAGAGTTCCAGGAGTAGAACCGCGTGTCTCTTTATTGCCTGCATGATGGGGAAGGAAGGGAAAAGGAAGCCTTGAAGAGAAATGTCAGAATTTTAGGCTTGAATTTGATAGAGATCAGGAATATGGAAATGGGAACAGATGAGGGCAAGTACAGAGGGAGGTGAGGCAATCCTGAACGTGAGGGCCTGGGGGAGCACTCAGAAAGGGGGTGCAGCCGGCAGCGTCCTGGGAGGCTGTCATCCCGGGGTGTGACAGCAGTGTGCAGAGAAGAGAGCAGAAAAGAGGCAGATGGAGAAGCCCAAAGGGTGACTGAAGCAGGAGAGAGAGAGGGAGGGAGGAGGAGAGAGAGCTGGAGAGAGATGGGGGTGGGAGAGGAGGGGAGAGGAGAGGTGAGGAGAGGATAAGCGAGGAAAGGAGAGGAGAGCAGAGTGGGAGAGAGAGAAAGGGGAGAGAGTGGGGAGAGATGGAGAAAGAGAGGCTGGAGAGAGGGAGAGGGAGAAGACAGAGAAAGACATAGAGAAACAGACACAGGGAGAAAAAAGTGCCTGCGGTGAGTGGTGGAAGGAGGGAAATAGGGAATATTGTTGGCACGAAATGTACACTGGTGAAGGGAAAGGTGGAACATTGTATGAGGAAAATTAACTGAACATCTTTGTAACTGTGTATCTCACAGTGATTCAATTAAAAAACCGAGGGGGTGGGGGGGAAGGGAGGCTAAGGAGGAAGGAATGGGGGCCTGAGCTATAATACAGCAGGTAGGGTGGGCTTGACCCAATCTGGGTTCGATCCTTGGTATCCCATATGGTCCCCCAAGCCCACTAGGAGAGAACTCTGGATGTAGAGACAGGAGTAGATCCTGTGTGTGACACACACAGACACAGACACCGACACAGACACCGACACAGACACAGACACACACACACACACACACACACACACACACACACATACACACACACAGGAGGAAGAGGAAGAAATGGTCCTCAGAAGCCCATAACTCAGGCCTGGAAAGATGATTCTGGATTTCTGTGAAAGTGATTTCAGGGTAACGCAGGAATCAGACCCACGTGACCGAGGACCCGTGAGCCGGAGTTCTGGATGTAGGGGCTAGGAGGGCCTGGTTTGGCTTCTGTGCCAAGGAGCTTGAGATGGGAAGCTGGCTGGAGGAGGCTAGGCCTGGGGGGGGGTGTGGCACCAGCACCAAGAGGCCGGAGAAGGAAGAGGTTGAAGACCCCAGTGCCAGGACAGAGTGATAGGGCAGCAGAGAGGGGGCTTACCTGGCATGTGGCTGACCCCGGCATCCCATACTCCCGAGCACAGCCAGGAGTAATTCCTGAGTGCAGAGTAACCCCTGAGAACCACCAGGTGTGGCCCCCCCAGAAAAAAAAAGAGATGACAGTGCCCAGAGCTTCATTAGAAGAAGTTTCTTGAAAAGAGGGGGGGGTGTTGCAGGGGCTACTGATCAACTGATCACTGTCCAAGAGATTACCGTCCACAGCATGGGAGGACTGGGGTGCATTTCGGGGGTGTGATGCTTGGCTGCATCGGAGACCCTCAAGGACGGCTCCTTTGTCCTGGTTCTTTGGCCTTTCCGCTCTTCCTGGCAGCTTCCCTGTCCCCTGACTGACTGTTCAGTCTTGGTCCCTCCTTAACCACATCCGGGTCAGGCACTTTCTCTGTGATGGCGTCACATTCTCCATGCAGAGCTCTGGGAGGGTGAGGACCATGGGACTGCAGCCGCCTTGGCTTGGCTCTGTGTCCACGTATCCCTGTGTGACTGCCTCCCTTGTGTCCTGGGAGCAAGGAATGTTCCTCTCGGAACTTCAGTGTGTGTGAAAGCCTGAATGTGGGCACCGCCTTCTTGGGGTCCCTGGTCGAGGCTGATGTGGGCTCAGAGGCGCATGTCCTGGTCTCATGTCTGACATTTTCTTTTTGATCTTCTGCAGTGATGAAGAAAAGTCAACCAGCTGGTTGCACCCTGGGACGGAGTCGGCCATCCAGAGCGGGCACACCTGCAGCCCAGGTGAGGTATCCACCTGTCTCACTGATGCCTGGTGGGGCAGGAGCCCGGCTGACTTCACTTCTGCCCGTCCCCCCTCCATGCACAGACTTAGACTAACGCTGGACCTTCTGGGGCTGTCATTGGCTCTTGGCTCCTCCACTCACCAAGCCCCCAACTTGACAGTGTCAGACAGACCCAAGGAGGAGGGTTTTACTCCTGCTTCACCCCGAGTCAGAGAACCCCTCAATTCTGGGAGAACCGGGAATCCCCAATCCCTCCTGCTGATCCCCAGGCCATGATATGATCTGGAAATAGGGCCCACATGGCTGCACAACAACTCAGAATCTTCGAGAGTTGATTCCCAAAGACTGAGATACTGACCCTTGATGGACTGGGGGACCAACAGGCTTGGGGACCATGCTCAGTAGTTATCTCTGGCAGTGCATGATGGACCACGGGATGCTGAGGTTAGACAAAGGGGCCAAGTACAGGCTTGGCCCTAAATCCCTAGCCTGAATCTTTATTTTCATTCTATTTTCTTAAAAAATTTATTTTATAAAGTAGCACTATAGCACTGTTGTCCCATTGTTTATCGATTTGCTCGAGCAGGCATCAGTAACATCTCCACTGTGAGACTTGTCACTGTTTTTGGCATATCGAATACGCCACGGGTAGCTTGCCAGGCTCTGCCGTGCAAGTGGGGTACTCTCAGTAGCTTGCTGGGCTCTCTGAGAGGGCGGAAGAATTGAACCCAGGTCGGCTGCACGCAAGGCAAACGCCCTATCCACTGTGCTATCGTTCCAGCCCGTTTTATAAAGTAGATCACATTATCTGATTACATTTAATATTTGAATGCCAATCTCACCACTCTTACACCTTCCCCCCACCATATTTCAGATGTTTCCATTCTGAACCCCAACTGCTGCCCCAAAGCAAAACCAAAATAATATATTTTGGTTTGTTTGTTATGAAAAACTGCTGAAAATTCTACAAAAAAGTTTCCTTAGAGGAAACAGTTTGAAGATTGTATTTCACTGAAGGACCATTAAGACCTTCTATAAGGGATCACTAATATGTTGTTAAAGGTTGACCCTTGTGTGCATATATACATATATATATATATCTGTAAAAAAATATTTCCCACTAAGGTTGGTTGCCTCCTACTTTGAAACGCATCAAATGTGGTGTGGTGTACTCTTGGAGTATGGGTAGGGTATGTGGTATGAAGTGTCGTGTGGCCGCAAATGCGGCCGCACCGGAATCTTTATTTTTAATAAGTTTAAATTTAGCTAGCTCCCCAGGGTTGTTGGGGCAGTTTTATAGGGGAAAAAAGGGACAGGCCCCAGGGTTTTGTGTACTGAGGTTTGGCCCAGGGCAGCCTCCAGGAAGGGGTGCACTGAAGGCAAGAGAGGCTTGGGGCTGCATGTGAAGGGGACACCTAGGAGATGCAGGCTGAAGGGTCAGTCCCCCACAAATGCACAACAGCTGTGCTCTGTGGGGTCCAACATAGACCAGTGGAGGATGCTGAGGGACAGAGGCGGGGGCATCCCTTATTGGCCTCCGCAGAAGTGCAAGTCCTCTGAGGAGTGGCACCCTGGCAGCGCCATCTCTGCCACAATCCAGGCTACACTCTCAGTACCTTTGTCTCAAAGGTAGGGACGTTGATGAGCAAAGAAGTACTTGGCCAGGAGTTAGAGCGACAGTATGGCTGGTGGGGTATTTGCCTTGCATATGGCTGACTGGGTTTCGATCCCCAGCATTTCATATGGTGCCGGGTGTGGCCCCTAAATAAAAAACAAAAAACAAACAAAAAAGAAGTACTGGGCCCAGGTTACTGCCGTAGTAGCAGAATGGTCTTGGGGTTAAAGCTGTCCAGGCTGGGGTAGAGGGTCTGTTCCTGGCACCCTCCTGCCTAGCCCTGTGCTCGTGAGTCAGTAGCTGGACCATGTGGATGCAGGCATACACTGTTCCAGCACCAACCCACCGCCAATATTAATTTCTCTCTGCTGGTGCCCCCCAGGTTTCGTTCCCCGCACCCCCCCCCCCTCCAGCCTGCCTCCTTTTTCATATTTTTGTTTTTTGGCCACACCTGGCTATGCTCAGGGACTATTTCTGGCTCTGCACTCAGGATTTTCTCCTGGTGGGGCACAGGGGGCCATATGGGATGCTGGGAATTGAACCCAGGTCGGCCACTTGCAAGGCAAACGCCCTACCCGCTGTACTATCGTCCCGGACCCCCAGCCTGCCTCTTTGTTAAGTTTTGTTGTTGTGGGATGGAGAAATAGTACAACCTCGGTTTGATCCCCAGCACCCATATGGTCCCCTGAGCACCACCAGGAGTGATCCCCACGTGCAGAGTCAGGAGTAAGCCCTGAGCACAGCCAGATGTGACTCTCCCCACAAAATTGTTGTAATTTTGGTCTCGTGTTCACAGTGTTGTAGGTGTGTGGTCTTGGCTCATGTCTGTATCTGTGTATCTGTCTGCACCCACCTCTACACCACCCATGTGCTCGAAGCTTCTGACCCCTGTCCCCGTTACCCCCAAATCACTCTTTTCTTACCAACCCCCCCAACTTTATTTCTCTCCTTCCCTTCCTCATTTCTATGATCCAAGGTCAAGGGTAACCTGGGCACCCTCCTATGGAAACGTGCATTCCCTCTTCTTGTTATTCTCTAGGGCACAAATAGGTGAGATCATCCAGTATTTGACCTTCTCTGACTCACTTCACTTCACATGAGCTCCTGCAGTTTCCCCCACGTTGCAGCGAGAAGTGTGATTTCCTCCTCCTTGGCGCCCATGGAGTACCCCACTGCATCTCGAACCCACAGCCCTAACCCACTGTCGTCAGTGAGTGGACCAGGATATAGGTCTCTCCTCCACGTTCAGGGGCCTCCTGCCTTTCTGGGGCGCAGGACATGAACCCCCCTGTGCAGACAGGTCTCCCGGCCCATGGCCCAGCTGCGTCCCCCTTCCAGGTGGAGTGTCGCAGTCCCTCACACGAGTCCACCCTTGACCACCGGGTACCAGCCGGTGAAAAGTCAGGGAGTGCTTCTTTGCTTTCTGCGGCAGCCAGCTCTTTTTCCCGGGCGGGGAAGGGGTTAAGGGCCCCCCGAAGCCTGCTGGGTAGGGCAGCTGCCTGGCCAGGAACATAGCGCACTTGGCGTTGCACGGCAGAGAGGGCAGAGCCGAGGGAAGTTGCTGGAAAAGGCAGCGTCCCCGCTGGCCTCTCTCCCAGGCACATCACAGTGGCGGGATTCTTCAGGGCTCGGACCCCGTGGGGATCCCTCTGCCAACCCCCACCCTGCTGAATGGGAGCATCCTCCCAGAGGGACAGGGGAGCAGCTGCGATCACGGAGCCGCTCTGGGGAAGAATGTGAGCTTTGGAGGCGGCAGGCCGGACTGGCATCCTGACCCAGACGCTTCCTGTGTGGCCTTCCCCAAGTTCATGGACCTCTCTGGACCTCTGTTTCCTCCTTTGTGAAATTTCCGGCGCTGATGCCTTTCTCGGAGGTCGCTGTGCAGATAGAAGGTGCTGGAAGACTTTCAATACAGGAGGAAGCTCTGGCTAAGACTGGAGCAGCCCCCAGGACCAAGCCAGGAGCCACCCCTGAGCACTCCCAGTTGTGGCCCAAAGTAGCCCACACTCCCCCCAAAATCAAAGAATATGGTCACCAGGGTTCAAGAGATGGTGCAAGGAGGGGCTGGAGCAATAGCACAGTAGGTAGGGCATTTGCCTTGCAGGCAACCGACCCGGGTTCAATTCCCAGCATCCAATGTGGTTCCCTGATCACCACCAGGGGTCATTCTTGAGTGCAGAGCCAGGAGTAACCACTGTGCATTGCTGGGTGTGACCCAAAAAGAAAAAAGAGAGAGAGAGAGAAATGGCGTGAGGAGCACAGGCTTTGCATGCAGGGGTTCCAGATTTGATCCCCAACACCCTCTGGTCCTCTGAGCACTGTGGGGGGAGGCCCTTGAGCACTGAGCAGTGCCCAAGCACCACAAAGCTGATGAGGTGCTGGATGACTCAGTGGCAAGCGGGAGCCTCTGGTGGCGCAGGTGAAGCAGGAGGGAGTGGCGAGAGGGCTGGGTGGAAGTGGCACCAAAAATAGGGACCGTTAATAAAACGAAGGACGAAGGTGGGTCTGGACTCTGCATCGCCCACCCCACACAGCAGCAGCCCCTGCTCTGAGGGTCCGACAGCCTCAGATACACATGGAAGGTTCTTTTTTTCCCCAACTGCCTTACCCACTACACTCTCTCTTTGGCCCCCATGGAAGGTTCTAGAAACCCTCCTATACAATGGCAGGTCTGCAGCTGGCCTGAGACAGAGTGTGGTCATCAAGAACTTTCCCACTCACTTTCCTGCATGCCAGGCTCCTGGTCTGGCACCCCTAGAGGAGTGATCTCCCCACATCTCTTGGGTTTTTCTCTGGAATTCTCCTCCAGAGAGGCCCCTTGTCTGGGGGAAGCCGGCACTTCTCAGGAGCTGTCCGGCAGGGACATGTCCATTGTGGGGACTGTCCAGTGTCTCCGGGCCCAGCCCAGTGTTCTCAACTGTCCTGCTTGTGCTGTGGGTCTGGGATTCTCTCTGTGTCCGAGGGTAAGAGAGGCAGTTGCATTTTTTGGGGGGGTCACACCCGGCGATGCTCAGGAGTTACTCCTGGCTCTGCACTCAGGAATTACCCTTGGCGGTGCTCAGGGGACCATATGGGATGCTGGGAATTGGCTGCGTGCAAGGCAAACACCCTACCCGCTGTGCTATTGCTCCAGCCCCAGCAATTGCATTTTGAATTTCAAACCCCCTCCATTTACCAGAGCCCTCTTCCCTGGTCCCCGGTGTTGAGTGGAATCCTGGGGAGGAGGAGGAGGGGAGGAGGACGGAGGCAGGGAGAAGCACAGGCTGGTTCCAGGAGACCAGAGTTCTGGTCTGGTCTTAGGGGGGGAGGGGCTCGGGTGACCTGGGGCCAAGTCCTCCAGTTGCTGCTTTTCTCCATAATATAAGGGGCTTGGACAGCCCCATCTCTGCATCCGGGCTGTGTCCCCAGGTCCTGGCCCAGAGCATGTGTGCAAGGAGAGTTAATTGAGCTATATAGGACTGGAGCAATAGCCCAGCAGGTAGGGCATTTGCCTTGCGTGCAGCCAGCCTGGCCGAGCCGGGTTCGATTCCACCGCCCCTCTCGGAGAGCCCGGCAAGCTACCGAGAGTATCTCACCTGCACAGCAAAGCCTGGCAAGCTCCCCGTGACATATTCGATATGCCAAACACAGTAACAAGAAGTCTCAAAATGGAGACATTACTGGGCCCGCTCGAGCTGATCAATGAACAACGGGAGGACAGAGCTACAATGCTACAGGAACCTGGTCTGTGAGCTGCCACAGTGCTCACTGCCCGAACTGCTCCCTCTCCCTGGCCCACTCTGGCCCACTCTCCTCCTGCTTGTGAGCAGCAAGGAGGGGTCTGATCCGTGGGCCCAAACGGAAGCCCCGGTTATGGGGCCAGTGTTGGCTGTCCCGGGGATGCTCATGGCTCTCAGGGCTGAGAGCCCGCTCTGCAGGGGCCGGGGAAGGACAGTGGTCAAGTTGGGGGTTTTCTCAGTGTGGCTTTGCTTCCCCACAGGCTTGCCCAAGGGCTGGGAGATGGATTTCACCCCCGAAGGAGCCGTTTACCTCATCAAGTGAGTGAGTCCCTGCTCAGGGCCCGCCCCTGCTGTGTCCTGGGAAGCCTCCGGGTTGGCCGTGGGAGTCTCTGCCTGGGCTGGCGTTGGGGCTGATGAGTCTCACAGCCAGGGAGGGTGTGGTGAGCGTGGTGCTGGGGGGGCAGGGTGAAGGAAGGAGGTGTCTCCAGGGGCGCAGAGCAGAGGAGGGGGGGCGTCCAAGGCCACCAGGAAGAGGAAGTGGAGCCGGTTGTGGGGAAGGTGAGCGCCAGGGAGTGGGCCGGCTGGGTGGTGCCAGGCCAACGCCTCTTGCTCCTCTGGGTGAGGCGTTTGCCGTCCTGGGCGGGCGTGGGTGGGGTGTGTCTCCTGCTTCACTTCCTCTGGGGGTGGGTCAGTCCTGCTGGGCGCCTGCCAGCTCCTGCTGGCAGCGGCCAAGGTGCCTGGGACTCACTGTCCTGGGTATGAGCTGGGACGTGGGGGATGGTCTTCTGCAGATGCAGCCTGTTTCCACGTGGGGGTCGCCTACCTGGGCCAGGCTGAGTGCCCACCTGTTGCCTTCTCTGGGGTGGGACAGTAAAACGCTTCTCCACGGCTGACAATTGAGGTGTGGACACCTAGGGGAGCCCGTGTTCATTCCAGGGGTGCACCCGCCTCTTATCTTCCCCTATTGCTTCAACATCTTCCTTTACCCACCCACGAGAGAGATTTTCCCTTCCCAACCATCCCGAGCCGATCAGCACTTTGCTAGTCTTATGGGCCTGGGGCTCTGCCCAGTGTGTTTGTGCGTCACAGCTGGCGATGCTCAGAGGCTACTTCCTGCTCAGGAATGCTTAGTGATTGCCCCCAGCCATGCCCGGGCACCTGATGGTGCCAGGGCGTGAACCCAGGCCTTCTGTTGGCCAAGCAGGCGCTAAACCCGTGAGTGTTCTCCTTGCTTTACTCTTTGCACTGACCCTGCAGTATTGACTGTCGTCGTTATGATTGTTTCTATAGTGCTGCGAGACACTGTCTGTGTTGCCGTGTGAGGGGTACCGGGTGCCTGAGACTCAGCCACACACCCTACAGCATGTGTTCTACCTGAAAGCCGGGAAGAAAGTTTTATTTATTGGAGGGCCATACCTGGAGGTGCTCAGGGGGTACTTACTGGGATTTGAACCTGGGTTGGCTACATGCAAGACAAGCACCCTGGGTGCTGGAGCGATAGCACAGCGGGGAGGGCATTTGCCTTGCACGTGGCCGACCCAGGTTCGATTCCCAGCATCCCATACGGTCCCCTGAGCACCGCCAAGGGTAATTCCTGAGTGCAGAGCCAGGAGTAAACCCTGTGCATTGTCGGGTGTGACCCAAAAAGAAAAAAAAAAGACCATCACCCTGCCCCCCTGGCCTGTGACTCTGGTCCCCCCACTGGAATGTTTTCACACGGGCTTGTTTCCTTACGTGTCATGGCTGGGTCCCCACCGCCACGTCAGCCCTGAGACCTGTTTCTGCCACTTTAGTTCCCCTGTGACCCAGAACCTTTCCATACCTGGCGGAAAGCGAACATTTGCTGAAGTAAATGAGTCGATGGAGACTGCGGTGGGGGGACCATCCAAGACAGCTCTTGCCTCGCTCCCGATCAGAGCTTCACTCCCACCCAGTGCCCCGACCCAGGGGGCCAGTGTCCCTTCTCCTGGAGCTCAGACATGCCACCAAAGCAGAACTGTCAGAGAGATGCCCCGCCGGCCACTCTCCCGACACCCCTCCTGATCTTGGCGGCCCCTACGGTGGCTCATGTGAGGCGGGGAGGAGAGAGATGGTCACTTTCTCCCCATCCGCCTCTGCCACCCCGGGACTCAGGTTAAGGGGTTCTTCTCTCACCTTGCAGAAAAGAATTTCAGGAGTCCACAAACGGTGAAGTAAAGACAGGTTTTATTTGGAGGTTGTTAGGAAGGGGAAGGAGAGAGAGAAAGTGAGAGAGAGAGAGAGCCCCTCCTACACGCATCCCAGCATTAGATAGGAAAGTCCACATCTCAAGACGGGACATGCAGCGACTCATGTGGGCACAAAGCAGCACATGGGCTCGGGCGGCATACGAATGCCCTTCTTTTGTTCAAGGTGGCTTTTATAGGGGTTTCTTCCACCCTGCTGTCATGTGGGGCTTCTGGCTAAGTAAGAGCCTGTTGCTAAGGTGGTTGCTAAGGGGATAGAGTTGGGAGTAGTCGATGGTCTTCTTGAAAATTCCTTTCCTGGCCTTTTGTTCCTGCTGGAGCTTCTCTCAGAAGAATGTCCAGCCATCTCTGGGTCTGTTGCTGGCCCCAGGTGAGGGTCTTATCAGGCCTGAGCGCCTAAGGTGGGCTCTCTGCAGTGTTGGGCTGTTGGTTTTATTACATCCTAGGAATTCCATTGCCTCTGCCGCTTCCCTGTCTACTTGCCTATATCACCCCCGCCCACCCACCCCAATGGCCACAGCTGAGCTCATGTCTGCCTGGGACCTCAGGCCCTACCGGAGGTCATCTCCGAATAATACCTGAGGCATCTCTCTTCTGCACACTGGTCTACCCCGCCCACATGGGACCCTCTGCGATTCTATTTTTTTCTTTTTTTTTTCTTTTTGGGTCACACCAGGCGATGCACAGGGGTTACTCCTGGTTCTGCACTCAGGAATCACCCCTAGCAGTGCTCTGGGGACCATATGGGATGCTGGGAATCGAACCTGGGTCGGCCGCGTGCAAGGCAAACGCCCTACCTGCTGTGCTATGGCTCCAGCCTCCGATTCTACTTTTTTTAATTTTTAAAAATGTTACAAAGTAGTTCACTTTATAAAATGATTACATATTTAATATGAAAACACCATTCCCACCACCATTACACCTTTCCACCACCATAGTTCGGATGTTTCCATCCTGAACCCCAGTTCCTGCCCCCAAACAGAACCAAAATAATATATTTTGTATTGTTTCCTATGAAAAACCGCAGAAAATGCTACCAAAAAAGTTTCCTTAGAGGAAAGAGTGTGAAGATTGTTGTATTTCACCAAGGGGCCATTAAGCCCTTCTATAAAAGATCACTGACATGTTGTTAAAGGTTGAGCCTTGTGTGCTTTTATATATATATATATATATATATATATATCTGTAAAAAATATTTCCCTCTAAGATTGGTTGCTTCCTACTTTGAATCCCATCAAATGAGGTGTGGTAACTCTTGGAGTATAAGTAGGGTGTGTCCTATGAATTGTCAAGTGGCTGCATTTGAACCAGGAATAGGTTTATTTGTGGGTGAGGCTCGGCCTGTGTGGAGAGCGGCCATGAGCCTGGCAGTGGTTGAGTTTTGGAGGTTTTTTGGCTGCCAGGGCTGGGCCCCTGGCGCTGGGAGGGGTCTCACCCGCCCCCATCCCCTTCTGGTGTGCCCCAAGTGAAACGGCCTGACGGCATGGTTATGGCGAGTGTCATGTTATGCTCTCTTCCGGGAGAGAAGGACGTGAGATCTGGGTGGTGGCCAATGCTTAGATTCCCTCTGGGATTTTTGTGCCTCCCTGAGACCTGGGCACGGGGCTGGTTACTCGGCGCCTGCCCCCTCCCACGCCCGCCTCCCGCCCCACCCCCCATTCCCATCTCCCAGACCAAAGCACACGCTCCCACCACCTCCCTGCCGTGCCCCTGCCCTGGCCTTTGCCTAACCTGGCTTGTGTCCACCTGTCGCACTTGCTCCGCCCACCTGTTGGCCCCTCTCCAGCCTCGTCACCTTCTCCTCTCACCTGGAGAGCTCGTCAGAACACACGGCCCCACCCTGCCAGTTCTGACTCAGACTGTTGGAGAATTTGCGCATCTAACAGGCCCTAGATACGCTGGTTGGTGCAGGAATCACCCATGAGCCTAGATCACCGCCGGTCTAGAAGACATGGCGGCAGGGGTGGCCCTGCGAGACCCATGTCTGGAAATAAGACATGGTACCTCGGTGGGTGGTCACATCCTCGTCGCGGGCATCCTGCTGGGCACCCCTGCCTGGAGGAAGTGAGTGTGCACTCTGGGCGCTGGAAGAACCGAATCTTTGATTCTGTGTCCTTCTGCCCCCTGACTGCTGGCGGAATCCCTCTGTCATTCCTGGGTTGGTGTGTAAGGAAAAGTGAGGCTCCCAAATGAACAGCTCATGTCCTGAATCCGGGAGCCAGTCCAGGAACTCCTGTCTCCACAGCTGGGCCGTGTGGGTGCCAAGCGCCAGGGGCCCTGGCGAGAAGGGAGGAGCCTGTCAGGACGGATGGATGGATGGACGTACGTACAGATGGACTCTGAGCCATGCTGCTTATCTTAGTTTTCTCTGCAAAGTCAGTTTCTTACAGAAGACTTAGGGCGTGTTAGTGGTGGCTGAGTTAGGGACCGAGACACGGGTCCCAAGAGGGAGTCATGAGAGCCAGGTACAGCAGACAACATGGGAACTCATTCCCCCCACCCCCCATGTTTCCCATTTCTCCCTTCCAGTGAGCAAATATTGACATTTGTCCAGGATCAGACAAATATAATTGTAGGTCAATAAGCCTTTCCCTTCCGGGTGCCGAGAGATGATTCTGAGCTGTGCATAAGCGACGTAACTACTCAAGTGTGTCTGTGATTTTGAAGATGTCGGTTACAAGGAAGGGTGATGGGGCAGGCGAATAGAAAAAGCAAAGGGCTAAAATATGGGTAAAACCCATCGCCACCCTGTAGGCATGTAACAGTCTGTCCACAAGAGGGCGCCAGAGCACACACGATTGGCCCCACGAAGGCTCGGCAGGGATGTTTGCTCAGCAGGGTCCCACGGATTAGAAGGGCCCGTTGGCCCACCCTCTGCATATCCTGGGGCAGGACAAACTCCTTTCACATGTCCTCTAGCCCCTGACGCCTTCCCTGCATCCCTGGGAAGCAGCAGCCAGCTCAGTTGTCCCCGGGGTTCTGCCTCTTGCTCTGGAGTTGGCAGGAGGGAGGGTTTCTGCAGAGGGTCCCTGATCACGCTGTCCGGTCATCCTCCGTCAGGCCCTCCGCTGAGTGCCTCTGCGCCCCCTGCCC